AAAAGAAAGAAAAGAAAGAAAAGAAAAGAAAGAAAAGAAAAGAAAAGAAAGAAAAGAAAGAAAAGAAAAGAAAGAAAAGAAAAGAAAAGAAAAGAAAGAAAAGAAGGAAAGATTCTGTTTGTGATTGTTTTCTGCTTCAGGCCACGCCAGTGAAACTTGAGTTTTCCCACGGAGCGGAGTTGGGGCTGGGCAGCAGGAGGAGATGCACAGTCTCACCTCAGCGGCGCTGCCCGTGCAGAGCGCACACGCACACACGCCCCGCGTGGGCGCAGCGGCTGTCACCCGCGGCACCTGGAACAGCAGTATGTTCACTAAAACTACACGAGGTGAGGGGAAATTAAATTACAGGGAAAACCATAGTCTCTGAGCGGTTCAAACAAATGTCTACCACCGCAGTTCTTCTCCAGGAGCCGGTGTACATTTCGCGGCAGGAGCGGGGAGCGGCCGGAGGACGCCCCTTTCTGTGACGGGGCTCCGCAGCGCGGAGGGGCAGCGCACCTTTGTGTTTCAGTGCCGGGGGCCGGGCTGGTTCCCCCCTCCGCTCCGAGGGCAGAGAAGGGGCGCCCTGCCCCGCACCCCGCCCATCCCCGCCCCATCGGGGCGCCCCGGGCCGCGCCGGCGGCCGCGCAGCGCGCACGTGTGGCAGCCACAGGTGCCGCAGCCGCCGGTGCTCGGTGTCGTTCTCTATAAGAGCGGCCCTGCCGCCGCCGCCCCGGCGAGACGGGCGAGGGCTGCGGGAAATGCAACAAGGCGCGGGGAGGCAGGGACCGGGGGCGGCGGGAGGAAAAGAAGGAGGAGGAGGAGGAGGAGGAAAAGGAGGAGGGAGAAGGGGAAGGAGAAGGGGGGGAGACAGCTGATGTCTGTCAAAGCCGGAGCCGCGCTCTCGCGAGAGCCCGCCCGGCGGTAGCCACGGGATGCGGGGCTCAGGTGCGGGCAGAGCGCAGCGCAGCGCGCCCGGCGCCGGGCAGCGGCAGGCAGAGGACTGAGAGAGGGAGGGAGGGAGGGAGTGAGGGAGACGGCGGGGGCCGGAGGGAGCCTCGCCACCCGTTCGCCCACCCACCCCAGCCCCGGCCACCGCGGCAGCAGCGGCGGCGGGGGCAGGGTCCGCTGCGGCACCGCCGCCACCACCGGCTCCGTCACCGCTGTCAGCGGCTTCCCCCGGCGGGAGGAGAGAGCCCGGAGAGCACTTTTCCCCCGACTTTAGGAGTGTTTGTGGATTTACATGCCAAGCCTTCAAGATGATGTCCATGAATAGCAAACAGCCGCATTTTGCCATGCATCCCACCCTACCTGAGCACAAATACCCCACTCTACACTCCAGCTCGGAAGCAATAAGAAGAGCATGTCTACCAACTCCACCGGTAAGGGATAGATAGCTGCAGCTCTCTTCTTTCTTTCTTTCTCTCTCTCTCTNTCCCACCCTACCTGAGCACAAATACCCCACTCTACACTCCAGCTCGGAAGCAATAAGAAGAGCATGTCTACCAACTCCACCGGTAAGGGATAGATTACACACGCACGCACTTTTCTTTCTTTCTCTCTCTCTCTTTTCTGTATACTGCATGTATGTGTATGTGCATTAATAAAAAAACGCTGCGAGGCACATTTTGACAAGCGGCGCTTAATGTTTTTTTCATGTCTTCCTCTGCAATCATCTGAGCGCCTGTGATCTTTTTTGAAAGCGGTGTTCACACGAGTCTCCGACTTCATCCACTTTCTGTATTAATTTTTATGACTCGGCCTCTGAAAAGGAATGCGTTTTATGTGCTCTTGTGTTTGACACAATTCCCCAGCTGAGAGTTACAGATCCGTTTCTTCTCCTCCTTTCTTTTCTCCTTTCGTTCCATTTCTCTCCTTTCAATTTATTTTTTCCCTTCACTCCCTCCTCCTCTTCTTTTCGGATTCCCCCTTGCTTCCTGCCCTTTCTACTCTTCGCCTCTTCTTTTCCTCTTTTGCTCTCTCCTTGCTTTCCCCCCATCCCCGCACTCCCCCCTCCATTATTGTATCCCATCCCCCGTTTCTTCTCACTTCCCCGTGCTGTCGCCTGCTATACCACGCTTCCCTAACCTCTTGGCTCCCCACCGCCACCACCCCGTGCCCCTTTACACGCTCATCCTACTGTCGGCTCCCTGCCCGTACGATCACCCCAACTTTGCCCACCTCTCTCTCCCCTCCATCAACTTTCCACCTCCTTTCCCACGGCGCTCCCGCAACCCCACGCTCTCCCCCGCCCGTCCCCTTCCCCCTCCGTGCTTTGCCCCATCTCTGCCCCCTTGCCCTTCTCTCCCTGCACCCCGCTCTGTTTTGTGTCTCCTGCAGCTGCAGAGCAATATCTTCGCCAGCCTCGATGAGACCCTGCTGGCACGGGCCGAGGCTCTGGCCGCCGTCGACATCGCTGTCTCGCAGGGCAAGAGCCACCCGTTCAAGCCCGACGCCACATACCACACCATGAACAGTGTGCCCTGCACCTCCACCTCCACCGTGCCCCTGGCACACCACCATCACCACCACCACCACCATCACCAGGCGCTGGAGCCCGGCGACCTCCTCGACCACATCACCTCCCCGTCCCTCGCGCTCATGCCCGGCGGCGGCGGCGGCGGAGGCGGCGGCGGCGGCGGCCACGACGGGGCGGGCGGCGGCGGCGGCGGGGCCGGCAGCGGCGGGGGCGGCGGCGGCGGCGGCGGAGGCGGCGGCGGCCTCATCTCCACCTCGGCCCACCCGCACTCGCACATGCACGGTCTGGGCCACCTCTCGCACCCGGCCGCCATGAACATGCCGTCGGGGCTGCCGCACCCGGGGCTGGTGGCCGCGCACCACGGGGCAGCGGGGCAAGTGGCCTCGGCGGCGGCGGTGGTGGGGGCGGCCGGCCTGGCCTCCATCTGCGACTCGGACACGGACCCACGAGAGCTGGAGGCCTTCGCCGAGCGCTTCAAGCAGCGCCGCATCAAGCTGGGGGTGACCCAGGCCGACGTGGGCTCGGCTCTGGCCAACCTGAAGATCCCGGGGGTGGGCTCCCTCAGCCAGAGCACCATCTGCCGCTTCGAGTCCCTCACCCTCTCCCACAACAATATGATCGCCCTCAAACCCATCCTGCAGGCCTGGCTGGAGGAGGCCGAGGGCGCCCAGCGGGAAAAAATGAACAAGCCCGAGCTCTTCAACGGGGGCGAGAAGAAGCGCAAGCGGACTTCCATCGCCGCCCCAGAGAAGCGCTCACTGGAGGCGTACTTCGCCGTCCAGCCCCGGCCCTCCTCCGAGAAGATCGCCGCCATCGCCGAGAAATTGGACCTCAAAAAGAACGTGGTGCGGGTTTGGTTTTGCAACCAGAGACAGAAGCAGAAACGGATGAAATTTTCCGCCACCTATTAGGGGCGGGCGGGAGGGGCGGCCCCAGCATCGGGGGCACCGGGGGGGGGCCGGGCCGGGGCCGCGGGGGACGCCCACGCACCGCCACCGTCGCCTGAGACGCCGTGGGAGGCTCCTGGGGACCACGGGACGATGTAGAAACTAAAGGCGAACTAGTCGGGGAGAGGGGGGGGGTGTGCGTGTGTGAGGGGGGTGCGCTATCAATTATTAAAACAAAAAAGACACCGGGACATCAATGAGAAGAGGAGAGAGGAGGTAAAAACGCTCTGGAAACCCACGGGGGTCACTTCTGCGGGCCCATTCCCCCTCTACCCCCAACCCCCTGACAGAAAGCGGGAGAAAGCGCAACTTAAAGCGTAAACACACACAGACACACACCAATAAATACCGTGACAGCAACAACCACAAACCGAGAAACCTAAGTCACAACTTTCCGAAGGAAAACAAAACCGACCAACAAACCCGGAAGGTGAAACTGTCGGTGATGATGATACTACGTTTGGTTTGGGTCTTTTTTCATTACTTTATGCTTTTCTTTCTTTTCCTTGGCTTGGTAATGAATGAGGTCGGCGGTGGTTTGGTGTGGGGAACTTTTTCTTTGGTTGGCTTGGATTTGGGTTTTTTTTGTTTGTTTGCTTTGGTATTTTTTTCTGGTTTTTGTTTGTTTGTTTGTTTTTCCTCAAACGCGGTTTTGCGCGAGGCTTTGGCGATGGGTCTTGTCTGTGGCGGGGGAGCGGTGCGAATGGGACAGGGGCCGGGGCCGGGGGAGCCGCCGCAGCCCGACGGGATAGCCGGTCCTCCCAAGGCTCGGGAGCGGTCTCTTTCCGTTGTTGCCTCAATAATCCTAGCTAGCTCAATGAAAACAAGAAAAAAAAAAGTTACTCCACAGCCCCTTTGTTCCTCCTCCCTCGCCTGCGTGGTTTGCGTTTCCAGCTGTGTCCAAAGACAAGTCCCTCTTTCTGCAGAGATGCATCTGGAGGCAGATGCCAAACCTGCCAGAGCGGGGATGCTCTGCAAAAGATTATGTTCAGACTCATTAATGCTCGTGGTTAAGTATGTCCTCTCCTCTCCCTCCCTCCCCGCTGCTCCCAACCCTATGCCCCCCGGCATCCCTACCAAATATGCAGGATTTAGGTTAAGGTCCTTCCTTGTTTTTTCCGAGGGCTGAGGGTTATTGCACCCGGTAGGCAAAGGAAATCACCAGTTTGAAATGGGTTTGAAATAACATTTGTTTCTGAGGGGTCTGCATGTTAGGAACAAACACGGAACAAAAAAAAAATTTGGGCTTAAAAATTTTTTATTGTAAATAATAAACGTTATGTAGAGGATGGCTTTTGGGAGGGGTGTGTGGGGTTCAATTTGCACTATCACAGTCTCCTGGATTGGAAGCGATAATGTTATACCATAAAAACGATGCTGGTAGTACTAATAACTATCAAAGTGCGTTACGTATCTCGCGAGTTGAAAACAAACAAAAAAAATATCAGGGCTTGTTAGGTAAAAAGGGCAGCGACGTGCAGAAGCCATCGCTGATTCTGGCTTTTGCAGAGAGACTACTAAGGCTTTCAAGTAACAAGGAATTTCTGCAAAGAAAACACCATTACGTTTAAATCAAAACAAACAATAGACTGAAATTATGCATGACATGACCTAAAAAAAAAAAAAATGGAAAAGAAAAAAGGAAAAAAAAGGCATAGAAAGATCCGTGTTAAAGTCTCTATATTATTTATTTATTTATCTATTTATTTTATTATTAATATTATTATTATTATTTCGTGTATCATTGTTTGCAGCGCAAACATTCTATGCATTTTGAAACTGAGCACTAAATAGACTAGCTTCTGGTAGAATCTTTTGTGGATGGTGTAATCTCACAGTTTAACTGCCTGTTTTCACCGAAAACACAAACGTTCTTGTCACGTTCTTGTATTTAGAATTAAAAGAGGAAAGAAAAAAAAAAAGGAAGAAAAACGGGAAAAAAAGATAAGAAAGACGATTGTAAATATTTTCTTTAATGCACAAAACAACATAAAAGGGTTACAAACTGCAACCACGTGTGGATCCTAAAATGTCTCACTGAATAATCTACCTGTCCATGTATGTTTGCTGAGCTTTCTCCTTGGTTGTGTCTTTACTCTATTACTTTTATTTCTATCAGAAATATTTCTGTATGCCAAAATACAACAGGGAGATGCGTCCCAGCATACTTACAAATAAAACAAACGTGAAAACAGAATAGTTACTATTATTATTGGGTGCATTTAAAAAAAAATATTTCCGAGACACGGCTGGTAAATTCAAGGTATGGCCGTTAGATGATAAGACTAATTCTACCAAAAAGAAAATAGTGAGAGATGTATTTTTCTGCTTAAATCCAGAAATCATTACTTTGAGATAGCTCTTATGTGAAAATCGGTGCTCCGAATAAAATTAACTATATATTAGCTGCGTGTGTTTCTTGAAATTTATTCTATAACTGCAGAATATAAATCAAAGTAAAATTTTAAGAAGGACTTCTGAAGTATTTCTTTTCAGTGTGCTGGAAAGGATTATGCACCTACAAAATATGTATAAAGAAGAAAAGCTTGGGTGGTTTCAGGTTTATATGTTGTTCTGACTGGCCTAATTGCACTTAATTATGTAACAAGATACTTTATTTTTATTTTGGGTTAATAAATATGAAAATCCTAAACTGATCTCTCCTTATGTTGTGAATGCAATTGTTCATTAGGAACGTATAGGATGCCACCTACTGCTTCAAGTGATCAAAGAACCTCTTTCTATTTTCTGATGACCTGTGACTAGATCAGATGCCAAATGTAAAAAGTTACTTAATAGCTGGGATTATTTCTTCTGTAGACATATTTTAGCCAAATCTTTTTTAATTTTGCCGGTAAATCTGTGAATCAAGACACGTGATGTTCAGAAGAGAATAATACGTTCAAAAAAGCTGTGATTTTAAACAACTGTTGATGTTAAAAAATAAGCACTAAAGGTATTTTTAAAAAACCATAGATCTCATCCACCGGAAATTACCTTGTTTCTGTTGTTATTGACTTGAAATGTCATCAGAATTTTTAATAAATGCATTTGTAAAAATATTATTTTATAGAAAAGTATTACCGGGTATCATTTTTTGGAGAGTCAGGAATGAACAAATAAAAATAATAACAAATGTTGGGTTTTCTTTTTCATCAGTCCCAAACGATTGAAATGTTGCAAGTGATACCACATTTGTATCATACAGTAATGACCGATGTATGTATTGAAAAGTTGAGGAGTTTGTTTTGTAATAAGTACAATCCTTATCAAGTACAAAGAAAAAATTAATATGTTAATAAAACAGATGGTGAAAATAAAAGCTTTGCAGGGTTTCCTATTTTTCATGGTAGGAAACTGTGCAAAACCGGAACGTCCTGCTTTCTGTCAGATGAATCTGAATAGTTCGTAAAACCACAAAATGCTCGTGAGGCCTTTTTAATAAATGCCTTATTAAAAATATCAAAAATAAAAATAGAGTGAAAGGAAGAGAGGAAAAGAAAAAAGAAAAGAAAAGAAAAGAAAAGAAAAGAAAAGAAAAGAAAAGAAAAGAAAAGAAAAGAAAAGAAAAGAAAAGAAAAGAAAA